GTGTGATAAAGTGTGTCTTTGGGATTTGCCTTGTTGGGGAGCCCTGCTACATCCTGGAACTGTGCTGTGGCATGCTGCTCCTGTCCTTCAAGGCTGCTAGGGAGGGCTTCATTGTGGCACGTGTGCTTTGCTGGCTGGGTGGGTGGTGGGGGCAATGCATTTCATAGGAGAGGTGTGGCACAGGTGTGGGCCTAGCGAGTGGGTTGACCCCACCCCTGGACATGCAATATAAGTGTGTGTTTGGGATTATGCTTGTTGGGGAGCCCTGCTACATCCTGGAACTGCTGTGGCATGCTGCAACTGTCCTGGAGGGCTTTCAGGAAGCGCACCTAAAGCATCCTAAAGCTTCACTTTAGCACTTCTATGTCTGCTTTGCTGGGTGGGTTGTGGGAGCAAATCATTGCATAGGACAGGTGTTGGATGGTGTTGGCGTATAAAATGGTTTGCCACATGCCTCTGTGTGCGCCTTGCAGAGTGATTGGTTTTTTGAACAGACATCTGAGGGCAGCATGTTGAGCGTACATTTAGTGTCATTGAGTCAAGTTTTGGAGGTCTGGTCTAGTGAGAATATAGGATTTCAGCTTTGGTGGGGTCACACCAATTTATGTCCCTTTGCTGGTGGGCTTCACCATTTTATAGCTATAAAATCTGTGGCAGGACCCCCTACCCAGAATTGACACGGGGATATATTATATATGTATTTATATATGTGCTACTTTGGCCGTTTCCACGGATGGTTGTGGGTCTATTCTAACAGAAACCAGCAGACTTGTGGTGATTGGTGGGTCACCCATGATCCAAACTCCCGACCGCATGCGTCAGCATGCTCTCCGTCCATGTGTGGTTGTTCACCGAGACGGCGCTCCATTTGGGGTTCAACGAAGGTCACCGTCCAGTACGTTGGACGCTTGGAGTTGGCCGGCGAAGTTCACGACTTGGACTCCAGCGACGGGACAGGAGGCTTCACGTATACCTTGGGCCAGGGGGACCTGTGCAAAGGCTTGGAACATGGACTTCCGACCATGCGGAAGGGTGAGCGTGCGAAGTTCACGATGACCGCTGCCTTTGGCCCCAAAGACTTGGCCGAAAAACATGCAGACAAGGCAGACACTGCGGACCAGTTGCGGGTGATTTATGAGGTGGAGCTCATCTCATGGAAAGCTCGGACCGATTTGTTTGCGGACGGATCTGTCATCAAGACCTGCGTGGAAGAAGGATCTGGTTGGAAAATGCCTCGGTTGAAAGAAGAGGCCGGTGACTGACTTGTAGTTCAAGCTCACACCCCCATACCCAAACGTTTTGGGGACCAAGTCGGTTCTTTTCTCTGCCAGGTGTGCATGTCCATCCAGATTGCCAGCTCGGATGGAAGTCTGAAAGAACTCACCGACGTCGAGTACACGCTCGGAACCGAGCGATCCAGATCGCTGTTCGGATCAGCGACTGCAGTGCTCGACGCGTGCTTGGTCGGAATGAAGAAGCGTGAGGTGGCCCTGCTACACTGTAAAGAGCTGGATTATGGGGAAGGTGCCAGGCAAGGAGCCCAGGGAACTTCATGTCGTTCCTGGAAAGGTGAACCAAAAATATATTATAAAATAAATAGTGATGCTGAAAGATGCAAGGATTGAATGATGTCCTATTCTTTGGGGCAGTTTTGGGGATTTGGAACTCCAGCTGGTGTCAGATTGAGATGTGTTGAAGAAAGCCCTCGGAGTACAAACCTTCGGATAGACCGGATCCATCTGACCTCTAACTGTTGTCCTTTTCAAAGACCGAACTCCCTCCCTGAGAATCAGATAGACCTGCTGCTCACCACTGCCAAGTCGAAGAGGAGTTCATGTAGGAGAAATCTTCAGGGCTCATATGGGCTCCTTTGATTGTTGTTGGCAAGGGGGGATGGGTCTGGCTCGCAGGGCAGATGTCGAAGTGACCTTGACTTTGCACGAACTCTACGAGACGAAAGATGTCTCCTTCGAGAAGAACCAAAGCTTGATGAAGAAGCAAATTGTGGAAGGACAGGGCTATGAAACTCCTAAGGATTCTCGTCCACAGCCTCATATATGTTGTTTCTTTTCGGATCTTTTGAATAGTCAAAGGTTCACATGACAGTGGAGCATGCCAGCCTGATTGGCTTTTCCATGCTTTTCCAAGGATGGAAGCACAGTGCATCTTGCTGTGGAAGCAGCCCTGAATGAGAAGAATGAGCCTTTTCCTGGTTACCAGACTCTTGGGTGAAGCAGACCTTTTGCTGTGACAACCAAGTAGTGAGCTACACTTGAGTTAGAGATGCGTTAAGTGTTACCACATGTTACCACGCCGTTCAGTTTCAATCAGACGTGCAGGAAAAAGACGCTGGAGTTTGTGTGTGGGGATGGGCAAGTAGCTGATGCTCTTGAATTTGCCATCATGGAGATGAAGAAGGGAGAGAAGGTGTGGCAGAGAAACGTCACTATTGGTCAAAATCCTTCTGCAAGACTATAGCAGTTGTTTGCTTATTGCCGTCGCAAAGGGTCTAACAACTACGCCTTAGTACCAGACCTTCAAAACGCGTCCTCCCTCCCTTTCACGGTTTTCTCGACCAAACGCAGGCCCAAACACCAGCGGTTCAGCCGTTTTTTTGTCCAGGCGATCTTGCACGTGAAAGAGCCGGAGGAGATCGCCCGGCAGCTGGAACTAGAGGTGAACAGTGAGATGTACCTCACTTTAGTCCTAGAGGACTTCGAGGCATTACCTGCCTTGGGTTTGGATGAGCATGCTCCGAAGCTTGGACGGCATGCACCGGATTGAGAGGCGTAGGAGCAAGGTCAACTAAAATCCTGGGTTGTTCGTGGGTTGTTCGTCGGAAAGTCTTGGGGACTCCTCAACTTCTGGCAGGGGCTCAGCATTGCTGCTCAATCCAAAGACAGAACAGAAGACCATTGGCAGCAGTGTGGATTCGTTTGGCCTGTGCGTTTTTTGATCAGTGTCTAGGACCAGGTTCCCATCTTGGGGTGTGTAGCTCAAATAGGGAGACCTCCCTTGGAGCAACCAATTCCCTGGAAGAAGGGAAATCGACCGGTCCAACCATTGGGGGTGGTCCATATTAAAACAAAAATACGATATGAGAGACTCGACCTGGGCTCCTGACCCTTCGATGGAGGGGTGTGTCCCTCGGGCAACGCAAGGACTGTGGCAAGATGATGCAAGATTGTTGCGGAAGCTCCAACACTCACATGGGTGAGCCCCCAGAAGACTAATTGCCAAGCAGCCTTCAACATGCCCCTGTTTTTTCTGGTCCGTGCAGGAGGATCCTGCTAGCTTTGACCTGTTTGGACCTGCTCGGACGTGGCACTTCCAGGATTTCCTTGTTTGGACCGAAAAAGCAGGACAACAAACAATATAGCTTTGACCCTGAGGAAGCTGGAACGTGCACAAGCTCGGAAAGAGCTGGGCACCAAGCACTTCAAGTCCAATCGCTGGGCCCTGGCTGTTTTGCGTTACAAGAGTGTCACTGCTTCTCGTGCTGTGCATTGGGGCAGATGCAGGGTTTTGGGGGTCATGAGAGGAAATGGTAGGAAAATCCCTAGCAAGTTGAAAGGTGTGTTCACTTCTTCAGATTTCTCAGATGCACGTGCTCGCAGGGGTCACTCCGGTTCTGTGTAAAATGCAACCATGATGATGAAGACTTGACTCAGTGAGGAAAAGATGTCAAAGAAAGAGCCAATTATTGAACTCATTTTGCTGGGCGAATGACTCTCTTGGGCAACCGCAGCGGTTTTCATCCCTTCTAGCTCTTGGCGGATTGTTTGTGGTTGGATGGAATGAGGACATGTTACTCCCCAAATCAGCACCATTGAGATGACTCCCCACTGCTCAGGATCTCCTTAGTTATGTGGATCACTTCCCTGAAGAACCTCAAGGCTGCACGCGTTGGGCGCACACGGCACACGGCCTGGCCCAAGTTGTTAAGAAACACCATTGGGTTCGAGATGGTTCGAGCACTTGCTGGTTTCTGTTTCATGCATGCCGACACTCCTATAGAGGTTCTGTAGGACATTTTAGGACCTATAACAATAACCTACGTAGAGTTTGGGGCACCTACCGTGCTCCTACTCCTCAGCCAACAGTTCGTTTGGCATGCATGGTCCAAGAAATCTGCACCACATGTGCATCACCAGGATTTAAGTTACGGATTTCTGGATGTTCTTTGATTCCATGACCATGGCCAATTCTTCTTGGTTCATGTTGATGCCCTTTTACACAACTTTTGATGTCAAAGGCAAAGGACTTCCCTTTTGAATTCCTACGACTACTATTGTCTATTTATATAACTTACTCTTTGTTATTGTTGGTTACGTTGTTGTTTATGTTTGTGACTAATCAAGTTTTTCAGGCTTTGCCACCCATGAGTAGCAACCTGCGTGCAGGGCAGAGGTATGAAGGGTATTGTGCAATAGGCAATAGGCATAGGTGTTTACCTAGAGGCGAACGTTAACATCCCACCCCCACCCGAAGTGGGAAGCGTGGTGTAGAAGTGGTAGGCCAGAGGCATGAAGCGTATTGTGCAACACTGAGACAAGCAAGGGGGCGATGAGCGTACGTGACCCCAAAGACAGATGAAACATGACGATGCGACAACAAACAAAGCATTATCAAAACAGTAAAAAAAAAACGACAAGCCGCGCTAAAGGTCGTGCTCTATCTACAACCTACCCTCAAACAGCAATTGCCATGGTTTTCAGGTTTGTGCTGTCGATTTTTCTCGAATGTGACCCAGCCTGGCGCAGGGAAGGCAAAAGAGCTGAAGTTAATCTGTGAGCTGAATAAAGCTGCATGTTACTTGAAGTTGCACCTTTTCCCGGAAGCAAAGACTGCATCCCGTCCTTGTTTTATTTTCATTGGTGTCCCTGGAAGAACACCATCTCGCCATATCTCGCCTAGAGAGACCGGTCTTCTGGTCCTAATACTGGTCAGGCAGTTCTTGTAAATCTAAGGCATGCAAAAATGTGCTGCAAGAACAGCCTGGGAATGTGAAGGCTCTCTTCCGTCGAGCGCAGGCCGGCGTCCGCGGTGATCCCGTTGGATGGCCCAGGTCGTTACAATTTGTAGGGATGCCTTAGCAAACTGACCCAATTGTGCTTCTTACAAGCTTTCTGCCCAACTGCTGGACTGAGGAACTTATAGGAACTTCAATCCAATCCTGAAATTCGACCTCACCCGCGAACCTTTACAGATCCTTGATCCTGTGGAGCCCTGGGCAAATCAGACCCAAGCCGGTGCACCGTCGCAAAGAACCTCCGTCCCCTTTTTCCGAGACCACGCCTTGCCACGGTTTTGGGCTTTGGACAGATCAGGAGGCTGATCGACGTTCGATTCCTTCAGTCCTCAGTGACCAGAGGTTTGGAGCGGGACCTACATTCGGCGCATTGCAGGCTACGAGGCTAAGCTAAGGCTAGTAATTATAGTTTTTCATGTTATATACGTATATATTATATAATATTATATATATAGTGATCTCAGTGGGCAGGCAGGAACCTGTTCATTTGCATTGCATGTAGTGGAGTATGTCAGGGTTGACCATGGAGGGAGGGCGAGCCGTCAATCGTGAAGGACAACAAGGCGGTCCATTAGCCATGTGTTGATCGCCAGGGAGTCGAGGGCACAATAGAGAAGTGCACCAAGCAAGTATAAGTATATGTAAGTATATATATATATATATTTATGAGGCTTACGCCTGACAGCCGGGCGCCGGCCCACTAGGGTCCGTAAACCGTAGAATGGAGGCGGCGCGATAAACGATCTAGGTATCTTTTGCTGTCTCTCCCTCTCTCTCTCTCTCTCTTCCTCTCCCTCTCCCGTCTCTGTTTGTCTTCGTCTTCGTCTCTGTCTCCGTCGTGGAATGTGTCGGTATGTCGGTATCTGTGTCTGTCTCTTTCCCTATCCCTGCTATAAGGTTGTGGGGGAGCATCGCTCTCCCACCCTCGTGTACGACGGGGGCCGGGACTTCGGGCGTCCCGGCAGCATCCTTCGCAAGAAGGGGGCTGACCGCCCGTGTCGGCCTATGTTAGGCCTATGTTAGGCCTATGTTGGCGTATGTTGGCCCCATGTTGGCCTATGTTGGCCCTATGTTGAGCCATCTTGGAGGCTATGTTGGGGATATGTTGGCTATCTTGGGCCTATGTTAGGGATATGTTAGGCAACTTCTGTGCCCAACACAAACGAAATGTCGATTAAGCCTGTCCGCGCGGCACGCGTAACCGACACCACCGGCGCCCTGTTAGGCGCAAGTCGTCTCCGCCGAAGGCCACGAAACACTGTAAAAAACGATGTTTTCCACATCATGCACAATCATGGTGGTGGATAAAATATAAATGACATAAAAATCTGTCGACCGGATTCGGGCGGGGGTCGACACGGGGTCGACACGGGGTATACGCGAGGTCCAACAAAAGGGTCGGCGGCAGGGGGCGCGAGCGTATATAACCTTCGGTTACCAACCGAAGGCCTCCGGCAAGGGAACGTGCGCGTGGCCGGCGCCCGGATTTAGGAGGCTTACGCCTGACAGCCGGGCGCCGGCCTATTTGGGCTTGGGTATGTGCAGGGCTGGGTCCTGTCTCTCTCTCTCTCTCTCTTTGTCTCTCTGTGTCTCTCCCTCTCTCTCTCTCTCGAGACTTGGTGGAGCTATCTGGTGCGCATCTTGGCCCTAGGTTGGGCCAAGTTGAGCCCATGTGGTCTATGTTATATAGGTACATCTTGGGCCCAAGTTGAGCCTATGTTGGGCCTAGGTCGGCCTATGTTAGGCCCATGTTGGCCTAGGTTGGGCCTATGTTGAGCCTATGTTGGCGTACGTTGGCCCCATGTTGGCATATGTTGGCCCTATGTTGAGCCATCTTGGAGGCTATGTTGGGCATATGTTGGCTATCTTGGGCCTATGTTGGGGAAATGTTAGGCAACTTCTGTGCCCAACACCCACGAAATGTCGATTAAGCCTGTCCGCGCGGCACGCATAACCGACACCACCGGTGCCCTGTTAGACGCAAGTCATGTCCGCCGAAGGCCACGAAACACTGTAAAAAGCGATGTTTTCCACATCATGCGCAATCATGCTGGTAGATAAAATATAAATAACATAAAAATCCGTCAAAAATCTGTCGACACGCTTCGGGCGGGGGTCGGGCGGAGGTCGACCAAAAGGGTCGGCGGCAGGGGCGGCGAGCGTATATAACCTTCGGTTACCACCGAAGGCCTCCGGCAAGGACACGGGCCCGTGGCCGGCGCCCGGATTAAGAGGCTTACGCCTGACAGCCGGGCGCCGGCCAAGCAGGGTGAG